GTATGTGTTTTCTTGGACTGGTAATGACTACGTGGTTTGTGTGTATGTGTTTGACTGGTAATGACTACATGGTTTGTGTGTATGTGTTTGCTTGGACTGGTAATGACTACGTGGTTTGTGTGTATGTGTTTGCTTGGACTGGCTGTGGATATGCTGTGTTGCTAATGCGACAGGGCGATCGCTGAGTACAGGTTTACGCGGCTATGCAGTGGGTCCTAAAACTGTGTGGGTTTTTTTCCTCGGTACTATCGGCTAGACTATTCGTAGTCTGGTGACTATCGGTCATATCATCGGAATGGTCTCAGCAACACATTTGCCAGTCATAATATATATCTGACGATACCTAGAGGCAGTTACAGGGTTGTTAATGAGCTCGTCACCATATCACACACCCGGCAGCTTCTCCGGCGCTGCTGTGGACCGACAAGTACAAACCAACCACCGTCAAAGACATCATCGGAAACCAAACAAACATCGAGAAGCTCACACACTGGCTGCAGAACTGGGACAACCGCCACATCAAGGGCATGAAAGTGGCACCGCTCAAGTCCTCCGGCAGAGGCAACAAAGCAGACGACTCGGATAAGAAGGCTGTGCTGCTCACCGGCCCACCCGGCATAGGTATGCGATGCGTGGACCTGAGTGTTTCGTTTAGGTGGCATTGTGTGTTTGTGGTGGTTTTGCTTTGATTTGGCTATTATGGTGTTGGTGCCATGATATGTCTATTTTGTACTGCTCTATTGTCTTCGTGGTGTCATGTCATACTCTCTCCGAGTGAACGTGACACTGCCCAAACTCGTCTGTGAGAGGCAACAAAGTGAATAAATCGCGCGAGCAGACTATGCTATTTTTATGCCACTCAGAGAGGTGCGTGTACAAGCAACTTTTATCACTGCTTCTGCTGATGTGTCCCTGCAACATTACACCTTTTGTTATGTGTGCGATATGTGCGGCGTTATCGTATTTTGGTGAAGACGGCTATGAATACGGGGCGAATGCTCTGTCTTTTGCGAATGGCAATTGGTCAGTGGGTGAAACGCCAGTTGCACACGAGTGGATCTGAGCAGTGCTCTGCTAATAGGTACTTTAGTATATATAAATATCGGATATTCGCATGCGATGCAAAGAAGAAGTTTGTTATAGTAAGACGAGCGCATATATTGGAGTACGGATGAACTTCTTTCTTGGTATACGCCACAAACACACACATAATCATCCGCACAGGCAAGACTAAACAAACACACATACAATCATCCGCACAGGTAAGACTACCATGGCTACGCTGGTCGCCAAGAGTCTCGGGTTTGAGCCCATTGAGATGAACGCCTCAGACGTACGCAGCAAAAGCTCGCTCAAAGAGGTTGTACGCGAAATACTGTCTAGCAAAACCATCTCACAGTTCTATGGGGACAGCAACCAAGGCCAAAGCCACCAAGCATCTCCTGATCATGGACGAGGTGGATGGCATGTCAGCCGGCGACAGGGGCGGAGTGACAGGCATGTCTATGTACATATATATGTGTAGATGGGCAGGCATATATA